AAACCATTTCAGGTGACTACCTCTTGAAGCTCATGGAGAGAATGCCAAGAGTGTGCAAAGCAGTAATCAGAGCAAAGGGTGGCTATTTTGAAGAAACTAGAATATAAAACATGTTTTCAGTTATTTCACCTTTTTTTGTTAAGTACATAACTCCACATGTGTTCATTCATAGTTTTGATGCCTTCAGTGAGAATCCACAATGTAAATAGTCATGAAAATAAAGAAAACGCATTGAATGAGAAGGTGTGTCCAAACTTTTGGCCTGTACTGTATCTATATCTATATATCTATCTATATCTATCTATATATATATACATATATATATGATGATGATGATGATGATGATGTATATGGAAAATCAGGCATGGTGCCTGAGAACTTTAAGCCCTGGTTACCTTGTTGGCCATGTGCAATCCATCTTTTGTCTGCACATCATTCAGATGAAGAATGTACATCCAGTTGATCTGGCCAGTTGTGCTTGTGATTGGACTTCATGCTTGTAGCATATTCCATGCCACCTTCAACATATGACAAGCATCCATCATCACGAACACCCTCTCACCAGTCACTGGATGTTGAAATGTGACACAGACAACTCTTATGCCGTGCTCATGCAGTTCCTCCAGTGCGTGCACAAGTAGTACCTCCTGTGTCTCTGGGGACAGGGACTGGGTCAGGAAGTATGCTATTGGAGCCTTCCAATGGCCTTGGAGGCCAACCACCATAAAGACAAGAGCCTCGGTGGCAGTGTCGGTCTCATTCACACCATACCCATGTCAACGTATAGAGACATTTTCTGGGTTTGAGGATTAAACTGGGCATGTTTTTTAATTAACATGGCATCCAACATGACACACACACATTCATATTTAGCTGGATCTTGCTCTTTTTTTCTTTTCAACATGTCCAACATTGCCATGTTGAGGCCAGGCTTTGTATCCACAGAACTCATCCACCTCGCTAAGAAGAAAAAGCAGTTATTTAATATGGATGCCCTGATCAGGATTTTTGAGGCTGATCACTAATCACTGAAAGCCATATTGGCCATTACCCACTGGCAAAATATTAAAGTCAGAGAGGGGGGATCTCCTTAAGGCTCTCTATTCATTGTTTTATCATTATTTATTCATGGTAATGTTAATAAAGAGTGTAGTGTAAGTGTAGCTATTGCTGCAGTTCACTCTGTTCAGTCATAAAGGGATAAAATATGCACAACTTATGTAGAAAACATGACTTCAAATAACATGGACAATACCTTTGCAATGTATGTGGATGTGGGAGATTAATACTGAGAGACTCTCAGATATGCGTAGACCTTTGGATCGTGTAAGTGGAGAGTGATGTCAAACTCCCTCTGGTCTTTGGTGTATTCATGGCTGTTTTTTTAGAGGAGGTGTACTGGAAGATCTGAAATTCAATCAGCAGAAGCTAATTATTAAGTACACTTGAAATAACAAGGAAGTCTAAACAAAGACGGTAAAGTATAATTCAACTTAAGTTTAGATTTTCTACAAATTTGTATTTTCATTTTACCTGAGTATGAATGAAGCTTGTCTTTCAGCTCTTCATTTATGAGTTTCTTTCCTCTGAGATCCTCCAGAAGACTGCACACAGTGTTCTTTGCCCTCCTTTCTCTATCTTTTGCATTCTGCTTCTCTCTTTCCAGACTCTCCACCCTAGCCAAGGCATCACTAAGTCTGGCCCTCAGATCATCAGGTGATGAAGGCAGGACATAGGAGTGGTCCTAGTAGAAACAAAGGATGGAAATATTATAACTCATGTTTTCAATCACCCAGTCACAGTCAGTCACATCGTTGCTAGCAACAGGCTAAAGTGAAGGATACAATATTTTAATTTTATCACAGTGTATTATTACAAAATACATAATTGATTCCTTCACACTCAGAAAAGAAAAAAAATCAGCATGGTATGGCCTTCATTTATTTAAACCTTACAGCCTATGGTGATATACATACCCTCAGGAGGTGAACTGGGAAACTGAAGACAGAAGGGACAGCTCCATCTCTGATCCTGACTGTCTGACCTGTTCTGTCAAAGTCCTCCGGCTTGAAATGCCCACTGCAGAGCATGGAAGACGAGCTAGCAGAAAACCCTTCCCTCCGGAGAGCTGCTTCCCACTGTTTCCTCCGAGCAGTATCTTTGGGAAACCTACATAGTATGACAAAAGTTAGTCAAGCAAATAACAACAATCTTACTAAAATGTTCGGAGCAATTGAATAAAATAAGAATGACAACTTCATTGTTTGAAGGCGGGTTTGACCGTGCTAATTCATTGTTTATGTTCTGGTAATGTAAGATTGTTCTTCCTCCTGTTCCTTTCCGACTATGGATGTGTAAACTGAGTTGTTAAATTATTAGCTGTATATGTTTTGATGAAAATATATACTACCATGAGCAGAATAAATTAAAATAAATGAATGAAATGAATGAATGAATTGTGCATGGGAATACAGTGTTTTCCACAACGTCAGCAAATTATGTTCTAAAAATGATGTTATAATGGCCAAATCATGCAGTCTATGGGCCAAATACTATCAAAGGTAATTGTTAAAGGTAGGATCTGGAGGATTTTCAAACAAACAAAATATAGACATAAACAAATGAAATCCTGCTTAATCATCACCTATGGGCTTCTACTCATGTGTGGTGGTGACTCTGTTTGCAGAGCTCCTGCCCTTTAACTGTATTTTGATGTTTTTGTGAGCGTGTCCGAGCGTGCACCAGCGCGAGCCTTGCCTGAACCTCTTCTGTGAAGCCTTCTTCCGTACCTCCGGGCTCCGTACACCCGGGAGAGTTGAGCCTGATAGGAGGGGCTGAATTTGAATGTGTGTTTACTAACAGCAACTGGAAAATCCTCCAGACCCTACCTTTAAGTCTTACCTGTGAAAGGTTATTCCCTGGGATTTGGTTTGGACAGTAAAACGATTCGTACACTTCCATGCAGCACATGAATGAGGCATCTTCTCCGCTCTGATTCTTGCCACATCCAATATGGTGGTGACGTTGAGGTACGGCTCAGCGCTTGATGCGGCGTCTATGTATACATGTCTATGGGTTACATGACTTGACAATTCATGTAGTTTACTTGACTTTCATGATTCCCCAAATTAAATTTTATATTTAGATTTATATTTAGAATATTTATTTGTATTCCATTAGCTTTATTTAACATAAAAAAGTAATAATATAAGATCATGCCAAACTAGTTGATATGGTGTTTTATTGAGAATTGAACAAGTAACAAAACATGTAGCTCAGCGTGTGACGTAAACAGTGACGTGAGAGGGAAGCCGCTGCTGATCAGTCCTTTGGCAATTCTCTCATAAGTTGGCCTGTCCCACACCGTTCCCGTCACTTGACGGTTAATGGCCTCTTCGTTTGCGAGGGCAAGGAGGGTGTGCAATTCCTTGTCTCCCCAGTTGCTCATCTTTACAGTGTCTCTCAGGTTTGCGTTTTCCTCTTGCTACTAGCTGCTCGCTAATTCCTGCTATCAGCTGTTTCCTGTTTATCCACTGCCAGTGGGTCGCACGTGCGGCGTCATCAACAGCTCCTCCCACAAGTCATCAGCAGCCCCTCCCGTGGTATAAGGCCGCCTCGTTCTTTTTAAACCAAAAAGGTTCCGCCAATATGTCTACCCTACGAGGCAGAAAATTGGGCACCTCGGATCAACTTGCCTATCTGGCTCTGTGTGTCTAAACGCTCGCAGCTTGCCGGCAAATAGGCCAACATTCGCCAAAAATCTGGCTTTCCATACAAATGTCGATTAGATGGTAATCTGCATCAGAAATTCAGAAAAAAAAAATTGGTTATAATAATTATCCGCTTATAGTGATCAATTAGACGTGGATCAGGGCATCAGTCAGCTCCTGGACAGTCGGTCATGCTGGAGGATGTTGCAGGCAGCAGAACGTGGTCTATGGCGTCTCCAGACTCTGTCACGTCCGTCACATGTGCTCATACCCTCGTGGAGTCTGCTTCTGATAGTCTGGGCAGAAACATGCACACAAGTGGCCTGCTGGAGGTTTTTCTGGAGGGCTCTGGCAGTGCTCCTCCTGTTCCTCCTTGCACAAAGAAGCAGATAGCAGTCCTGCTACTGGGTTGTTGCCCTCCTGTGCCCCCCTCCACCTCTCCTGGTGTACTGGCCTGTCTCCTGGTATCTCCTCCATGGGAGACACAGCAAACCTTCTGGCCACTGCGTGTACAGATGTGCCATCCTAGAGTAGCTGCACCAACTGAGCAACTTCTGTGAGCTGCATATACCGCCTCATGATACCACTAGTGGTGAGGCACTGGAAAAATGCAAAACTAGCCAAGAACCAACCAGAGAGGATGCAGAGAGGGAAATGGTCTGTGGCCACCACCTGCAAAACCATTCCTAAATAGGGGTTGTCTTGGTAATTGCCTCTCCTTTCCACCTGTTGTATTGTATTATGTGGCTATTATAGTAAAAAATACAGGCACACATTTGTAAATTAACAGTCCCTCTATTCCAGAAGTCGTAAAGAAAGCAAGGGAAGAACATTTAATAAAGCCCTGGAGGGCGGGAGTGGATGAAACCTGTTTAAGAGTACCAGCCCAGACGGGACGCTCTAAAACTAAAGCAAGCGCGCCCACAAGGAGGCAGGTATCATTTTATTGGTCAACAATATGAATGATTTGTCTTTTAATTTTAAATGCATGTGGTACAGGTTGTAGGGTTGGTGACTCACTAATTAATCACCTTACGTATGCAGATGATTTGGTCATCTTTAGCCCATATAGTGCTGGTCTCCAACAGCTTCTGAGAATATGCACACGGTATGGTGCTGATTTTGATATAAAATACAACGCTAAAAAGAGTAAGATCATGATTGTCAGAAGTAGAGAAGACAGACAGTCAACCTTCCCTGACTTCTATCTGTCTGGCACTGCACTCAGTGTGTGCAGTGAGATTACATATTTGGGCCATATAATCGCAAATGACCTGTCTGATGACAAGGATGTCTATAGACAGCGTCGGCAGCTGTATGCTCAAGTGAACATGCTGTGTCGTATGACATTCAGATTCAGATTCAGATTTAGAATACTTTATTAATCCCCAGGGGGAAATTGTTTTTATTCCAATGCTCCGTGCAAAGTAGAAATAGAAATACAGCATGAATGGAAACAAGAGATAAAGATGAAGATATAAATAAGATGCTAAAATGGACTATGAAATAAATAAAATAAAATATTAAAGTAGACATTAAAATAAAATAAAATAAAATATTAAAGTAGACATTAAAATAAAATAAAATAAAATAAAATATTAAAGTAGACAATAAAATAAAATAAATAATAAAATAGTA